CACGTCTGCAGCAGTCAATTCAACGGTGTGGAGCATTGGCCAAATTGCAGAACTGTTCAGTCCCCCATCGGACTCAACAACTATCATACGTGCGTGTGAAATATACTCCATCGGAAGACCTGCCAACTCCACAGTGGAGGATTACATCGCACTGTTTGAGAACGCCTCAGCTCGTGGACTGCCTACAGAAAAGTGTCCTTACGGTTTTGTCTATGATTACAGCCCGCACCAGTATCCAGGCGGTGTAGTGGAGGAGTGGGACCTTGTTTGCAGTCGAGCCTGGGAGGCACCATTTAACGAGAGTGCCTACATGGCTGGCATGTGTCTTGGCTTTGTTGTGGGTGGTTGGCTGAGTGATCGTCTGGGACGCAGGATTGCCATCCTGTCAACCGGCGTGGCCGAATTCGTTCTCTGCCTCCTTGCCTGTCTTAGTCCACACCACATGTTCTACTCTTCCACCCGTTTCCTCACCGCTGCCTGTTTCAGTGCACGGATAGCCGTGGCCACAGTCATCGCTGCTGAACTTACAACCGCCAGGTATCGATCCATTCTTTCAGCCACTGGTTCAGTCATACAGCTTACTGTGCATCGGGTGTTGATAGCCGTACTTGCATACTTCGTGGACCGGTGGCGCATTCTCACAGCATACATGCTCTTCCTCAACAGTGGAGTGTTTATTCTCTGTTTCGTGCTGCCGGAATCGCCCAAGTGGTTGGCCGCACGCGGAAAAACGAATGCAACTGGTAGGTCGCTTTTCACCGGATACCGAACAAACCTGCGGTTTACCAACCTCTTCTCCAGAAGAGTAGACAGGCAGAATTGCATGAGCGAAGGTGAGTTTTTGGCGCTTGTCGGTCCACCGTGCCGGTCTATAGCCGCGGAGACGGAGGAGGAAGGCGAACTTGACGTACCGGCAGGTGATGTGGAGGTAGAGATGCGTGCGAGCACACAACATCGCCCCTGCGGCAGGCCCTTGAATGGTGAACTGGTCTGGACGACGTTTCTGGCGGTTGTGCTGCTCACCTGTCATACCACCGGCCTCTACGGCATGATCTTCTACTCAATGCACATCCGCTTCCACGTGTCCCTCGTGGTGGCCATTAATGCCGTGGCCAATATGCCGGGTTGCTTCCTCTCGGCCTGTCTGTATAGGTTTTTCCGCTTCCGAAAGAAACCCCTCTTGGGGCTCATCCTAATCGCAGCCACCTTCCAGTCAATCGCAGCCCTGCATACGCTAATTGCTCAACCTGACGGTGATATTTTGCTCAACGTCTTTGGCAACATCATCCTCTTGCTCCAAACTGCCGGTATAATGATGCTGTTTGTGTATGTGCCCGAACTCTACCCACCCCTACAGAGGAACCGCGGCTTTGGGATCTCTGCAGGCGTTTCCCGTCTCGGTGCCCTCACCTTCCCCTTCATAAACCGTCTGGATGCAGATGTAAGACACGGTCTCCCACTGGCCATATACGCCGGTATTTCGGTCATTCAACTGCTTGTTCTTGTATTTATCAAAGACACAAATGGGGAGATTGTCCCACCAGCAGAAGTCGATGACACAATGTGCGCCGAACTGGGCTCCTCGCAACCGGGTACTTCTAGAACTAGTCAGGGAAGGACTGACAGTGCGTAGGCAGCGTCCGAGAGCCGAGTTAGGTACACCAATTTAGATTTCACTTCTTGTTTTTGAACACAATTTACTGTACACACATTAATTTTCTAATCATATTTCGTTAACTTTTGTCAAAATTTGTGATATCACAAAGTTCTTAGATGGTCTCCGGAGTAAGTAACCCCGGCCGCAAACCATACCCTTGCCAGCTCCGATCCAAGCACTGGCCTTAAAGCTGATACTAACTCTATTCCTCTGCTTTAGCACAAGGCCACCTGTAATAAAGAGAGGCACTTATTTCCGTACTCCACCTTACTTATGTTCGTTGTGTGCAGTGATTTCGGCTTTTCTGTCCTTCCTAGACGACCGCACTGCGGAAGTCAAAGGTATGGCCGGTCTCTCCTGCAAGTATTTCATTTGGGAAAGTGGGATTCAGTCTGAAATCTCGAGTTGGTACCCACGTAGGTGCGTCCGTGCTTTCTCATCCATATTTCCGACGTAGTTGCAGTCGCCATCACTACAGCGGACTATAGACAGCTGTTGTGGTTTGTGCACACTGCGGTGGATACTCGGGCTGTATCAGAGCCTTGGGTGTGTAAATCGTGCCCACCTTGAAGAACTGTAGCATCCAAGACCGCCACGAAGAGCATTCCTGGGTCTGCCAGGTCCTACGCCACTGCCCGTGGGAAGACCACAGGTGGATATTTGCGATGGGCTTAATAAGAACCAAATTGAAGTCGGCCAGAAACCACCCGCCGACCGGTCATCAGGTGCTGGCTGACTATGCAGGCGAGTCAGAATTGTTGTCACACGAATCAGATGGCAAAAAACTCTATAGGATCAGGGCCAACCACAGGCGGGCCATGCCCATTTCCATGTCCTGTTTAGGGGGCAACATTAGTCTGCCCTACCAATCCGTCGTCTGACCAAATAGGGGTGAGAATGGGTTCACTCGCATGAAGGACGAAGGCGTTGGGTGGTTGAAAGTGCGACTAAAGTCATCTAAGGCATGAGCCCGCTGGCTGTCATTGCCAAGGCCAAAGGACGGCGCGAGACCATAAGTCTGCCCAGGGGCATAAACGCAGAGCGCGAGTCGATTTACACCGTCAGCTAAATCACGTGGTCACGGCGCTCTGGTTTGCCCTGCAAATCCGACTTAGCTTCCCCCAAAGGTGGTCGCATAACGAGAGCCTAGCAATAGTTCAGAGTTGTTAACAACAGAGGCGGGGGACCAGGTCGATCGGTTCTGGCTGGTACGTTGTCTCCAGCCTGCTGCAGCCAAGACAGGGGCGGGAGTACTGATATATGAGCCCTGATCCGGAGTGTGGTCGACTGGCGTTGACACATAGGCCAAATACAGGAATTGTGGTTTCTCTCGTCCTCAGCGCCAGTCTACTTCGCGATGCTGTTTACGCTGGAGCGTCATGTCCCAAGAAACTTTAATGAGTGTCGCACGGCAGTGGGGGGAGGGCAGAGCGGATGTGATGAGGACGCCTACGACCTCCTCTTCCAACCGACGTTCACTCTCAGGAGTAAGCATACGTGGGCCTGGCAGGGAACTGCGTTGACGGAGAGTCATTTTGTGTTTATTGGGGAGCGAAGGTCAGAAATAGTAATAGGCATCTCCTAACCCAAGGGTAACTTTTAACTTCAAGCCCAAGCATAACCTAAACATCAGCCTTGACCCTAACCCTATTGTAAGGGGAAGGGGGCAGGGTAACTGTCACTGTTTCCTACTACCTTTACTGCCGCCGCGCACGCAAAATCTATCGACGAAACCGATTGGGTATACAAGCAAACCCGGTCAGATGCGGTTATGTAGCCGCACCTGAGGTAAACAAACCTCAGCCACCCGTAATACGGGACTGGTGGTGGTAGGGGTTTTTACAGGTGGGGTCGGGGAACGCACAGACGACGAGGTCAAGTAATTGTATGCAAAATAAAAGCTATTTGGAATGCGCGGTTGCACTTTGATTGGTTGAGAAATAGTTTCCCTAACTTCTAACCCTACCCCTAGCTCTAACTCCTAACCCTAATCCCAACCCCAAACAGTATTGCGTCCACCAGGTGGGGCTACATAACCACATCTTACCGTCAACCCAGTGACCTTTTTAGGCGACATCTTCGACTGAAGAATTTCGACTTGAATGAAGTCTAAATGTGGAAACTACCCGAAAGCCGTCATAATTTCTAAAGGTCCTAGGTGTTATTCTGGTTTCCTAAACCTGCAAATGTTGTCTGGTGAGATACACAATTGGAGCGGTACACAAAGGAGTTTGTGACACGGAGGCCTGCCTCACCGGTCTTAACGACGGTAAACATCTACCAAATAGTCACTTCCTGGTGAGACATCGAGGCTATTGTAATATCGAAGAAGAAGAAGAAGAAGAAGAAGAAGAAGAAGAAGAGGAAGAGGAAGAGGAAGACGAAGACGAAGACGAAGAAGAAGAAGAAGAAGAAGAAGAAGAAGAAGAAGAAGAAGCGACCGTTGACAGCATCCAACGTGTCACTCCGATCTAACTAGATGGTAGGGATCGGATATTTGCTCCCAACCCCCTAACTGTATTCCAGGAATTTCTTATTTTAGGGGGGGGGGGTTATTTCGTGCATTCTTTAGCGTACGACGCAAATGCACTTTTTAACTCTTTCCGTACTTCAGACCCTCACGGCTCCTCCACTGAAAGGCTCCACCCTTGAAACCCCCATTACCAACATTCCTGAATTACGGGTGACTTTGTCCCATGACTTGGGGGAGTATATAACCGATCCCTACCAAGTAGACATTGGGTCCACGTGATTACCCAGGAAATCCTGCTTGGGCTGTCAGTTTACTGAGTTATACTGCAGAACTGAGAAACTTGACAATGCGACAAATCGACAGTTCACATCTGCCCCAAGGCACCCGTACTCCGGTTGTGTTGTTTCGTCTTCCCACAGCCTTTGTAATAGACCAAGGTCTACCTATAAACACCATTTATGTCTGCAGAAATGGTTGTCAAGCCCATGCGGTTGGTGTTTCACGGACAGAAAACGGTAAATAAGCCAGATACAGTAGGTGGGCTAACTCATGAGATGTCAACCGAAATTCCGAAATGTGTCTTCGCTTCGAAAAGATTAATTAAGTAGGGTTGTAAAACTAATCCGCCTGCAGTATACTTATATAATAATGCACTTGCCTCAGGATGCCGGCTTTTGAATGTCTTTCTGGCTGCACGCAAAAACCATACTCCGTAAGAACTGACTACTTAAGTAGCACGAATTTTTCTCATTGATTTTCGATGCCCTTAAAAATTCAATTATATTTCATAGAAAACATGCACAGAATACGCATTCTCCTGCTCATTCGGTAGAAGATTACGTCTTCTTCCAATTTTGTACTCGAAGGAAGGGTATAATTTGGTTTTAACTTTCTGATTGAGAGATTTTTTAATACCGTGAAGGGGCTGTACATAAAACGTCATGCCTCTGCATTTACCAATGTGATTTGTAAACTTAACAATATGGCTCAAATCCACTTCTACATTTTATGAAATCCATGTAGTCTCCTCTTAATACTCCAGAAAAATGTACGGTTTCCCGTACGCGGAAAATATACGGCTCGTAGTTTGGAAACTCTGAATGCAAGAGTGACGACAGGGCGGGTTCAAAATTACTCGGGAATGGGAAAAGTTTTTGAAAACCAAATCATACCCTTCTTTCGAGTATAAAATTGAAAGAAGACGTAATCTTCTACCGGATGAGCAAAAGAATGAATATTTTAATGCATGTTTTCCATGAAATATAATTGAATATTTAAGAGGGTCGAAAGTCAATGAGAAAAATTCATGCTACCTAAGTAGACATTGTTTGCGGACTATACAGAGTATAGTGTTTGCATGCAGCCGAAAAGAAGTCCGTTTGAAAGCCGGCATCCTGATGTAACTGAATTATTGTAGAGTTATGCTGCAGACCGACTAGTTTTACAACCCTACTTAATTTATCTTTTCGAAACTTAAACGCATTTCGGAATTTCGATTGACATTTAATGAGTTATCTTACCTACTGTAGTTGCCAACCTACTGACCTGTTGACCACGAAATGGGGGAAAATCTCGTCAACGGTCTGTTAATAAGCCTTACGCACCCTGTTAAGTGAATGCGCTGATCAGTCATGCCTACTTCCCACCCACGTACTGTATTAGCGTTGTAAGTAGACAGTAAGTGATCTTCCCCTTCCGCTATATCGGACTCCCTATCTACTGTCCGGATCATTCCACCGTCCCTCTCCTTTTGTTGGTAATACTTCTCGCGTACCTGACCTACGCAGAAGTTTTCGCTTAAGTTCAGAAATTAACCTTCGTGGATGGCCACTAGCCCACGAACCACTTGAAGGCCCGCAAGCCAATGAGAAGTTGAGTGAAAACTGCGGGCCTGTGGCAATCCGCCCCCGGCCTCGATCGCCGGAGCGGTCGCTCACCTATGCCACCTTCAGCCTGTCTAACGCCCCCTACCAATCTGATGTTCGAGTTCCAGAGTGGCAAGAGCTCGAGACCAATCGACGCTGTGCCCCTTTTGTTGATTGGCTGCAATCCGACGAAACTCATACACACAAATGCATCACACAGCGATACCAACAGCCTCCACGGCGGCCACTCTGCTGGTGGGACCAATGTCTGGTACTGCCTGCTCGCAGTAAAGTTTGTCCAACCAATTCTTCCTCCCATACGTTTGACTAGGGAACCTTCGAGCTGTCGACCTATCGCACCTTCGTTTGCTGTCGATGCTTTATAGTTAGATTCTTAAGCCGAAGAGCTGGAGGGGACAACCCAGAGCAAACAAATTGGGCGGTTCTTGGGGCGCTGACGAAGATAAGGGAGACTGGGATGGCCATTTCAGGCCTATTGGCCGTTATCCAACCAGACATAATTAAACGTTGGTTTGGATAACCCGGGCTAGCAAGATCTCATTTCGTAGCAGTACCTGTTAGGGGTTGGAGTTAGGGGTTGGGGCTTAGAGGTAAGGACTCGGGAACAGGCTGGGGCTTGTCTACTGCAGGTACGGCTATCAACTGAGATCCGATCCCCGGGCTTTGAATCCTGACTTCCTGATCATCCGACATTAAGTCAGACACTGGTACCATCATTGCCACTACCACCGTTGCCTTAACCAGCTTCGATACCACCCCCAGCGATACAAAAACGGTTCCAACCTGTACGCACTGTGATCACACATTTCAACCACGGATCAGCCCTGACCGGTCATCTACGGATCTATCGCCCCATGGCTGGATAACTAATTCCTGGGGCCTGTACACGCAGATCCAGGCCCCGCCTCGGCTTATTCGTCCATATGCATGGAAATGAAAAGCTAAAGTACACGTCACCGTGTAGGCATTCGTGAAACCAACTCAGTCTATTGCCACGCATACATAAATACACGACAGTTGGATTGTCGTGACCGACGACGTCCACCATGTGCTCCATGGCAGGGTGAGATCAAGAACGGTGACTTGCGCGTGAGTTAGTTTATAGAGACAGTAGACTTGCCATGCATCTACCACACTCACTCCTCCTTCTCCACCTTGCCCGCTGTCAATACGGAGTTAAGAAGATTGGAGACAGGAGAGGGCGCAAATGGTCGACGCGGCGAAAATCCGCACCTGTGCGCGCCATCAACCCCCCCCCCCCCTGA